TTCGTATAATGAAAGTCTAAATCATTTGTGTGCACACATAGCAACTGTTTATTTGTTGTTAGCTTTGAGGACTCAGTGGGGGTTTGATGCATTTAGAAAAAAGATCAACCCTGGAGAGTCTAATCTCATAAGTAGACAAAAAGAAAATTGAAACTGAAAATGCTTCTCCCTACATCTGAGGGACAAGCCAGGGATAAATTATCTTTTAGCCCTACCCCCTCCAGTTCTGAAAAATACTCTCAATCCAAGAACATAGAGGGGAGATGATTCCTTGGAAGGATCCTGCTTACTTGGCCTGGTTGGAGATTGATTGTGCATTCTAGAAATAGCATACCTTTCCCCCCAGGCCACCAAGTAGTATATCTTTCACCATTTGTAAAATGCATCCACTATTTCTGTCTTTGAAACTTCTTTTTTCCCCATCACTAAGCTGTCGTGGGATAAAATCAATCTTGAAACTGATATACATTTATATTTCTATGGAGAGTGAATCCTAGATTCTAAAGAAAACACTTGCCGTGGTTAAGATGTGGTTCTTCTCTCAACCAAAGGTCCATGAATGGAGAATGTTGGGATGATTTGGGTGTTGTGATAGATAGATAGATAGATAGATAGATAGATAGATAGATAGATAGATGGATAGATAGAGATATATAGATACATATATAGATATAGATACATACATACGTACATACATACATACACACATACAGACACAAACACTCTTGGAAAGAATTAAAATGGTTTCCTTGCAAGTCTCATGAGAGTAAAGTATTATATAAAAACCTTAGTTCAAATCTTGGGTCTCTAGATCCTGTAACAAGGTATACACTAAGTTTAATTGTTTCCATTCATCTTCATATGATACCTCCAATAGAACCTTGACTAGAGGTGAGCCAATGCAAGCATTATGAACTTGAACTTTGGCAACTGTGGGCTAAATATCTTTCCTTAACTAAAAGCCAGTCTTAGGCATCTTACTGTAAAGACAAAATGTTGGCTACTACTGTATCCCTGAAATATTTTGAAGGGACCAGTGTCCTCTAGAGCAAGGTTCCTTTGACCATTTGTGAAGTGACTAATTTGCAGAAGCCTTGCTCAAACCTAGGGTCTCTGAGATCCCCTTTTCTCTCATTCAGAATCTCACAAAGCCTATGTTTTATTTTCATTTCCACACCATTGTAGCCAGAAGACACAAATTTAGTCCAACACTTATAACAAAATAAGGCTTGGTGGAATAGAACCAGGTGTATGGAGGAAAATTTAAATTCATACTGAAAATGTGGTTGTTCAGGACTGATTGCTTCATAAGAGAAAAATCTTCTTCAAATATGGTCCCATTTTTCTAAAAACAAAGGTAGTCTTCTACCTACAAGTCATTTCTAAAATGTTTCTTATATTTTAATTTTGTTTTCAATACAGCCCAACTGCAGTTTCCTGTTCCTCCACTCCTTATAGTTCCCCTCCTAGAGGCTCTTTCAAATTAACATCCTCCTTCTTAGCCCCTCCCCCAATCCTTACCCCAGCCAATGCTACTCTTTTACTGTGTTTGGCTATCTGGGCTGAAAGGGCAGCTAGACAGGCACTTCTTTGTAGGCAGTGTAATAGGAATTGTCAGTTGGGGAAATTCAAACCACTCACAGGGTTGTTATTTTCCTTTTACCCACATATCACCAAGCACCATACTTTGACCTTTACCTGACACGATCTGTACCAAAGGAAGTTAACTTCAGTGGACAATAGCAAAGATTTCCTTACCATTGAGCGTCTGGTTGAATCTGGCTAATGGTGAGCACTGGATGAATATCAGAGAACAAAGAGAGTGAGACATGTATTCATCATACTCTATCTCCTTCCATTTGTCCCTCAGTTAGGTGGTAACTGCATGGTGCTATCTCAAGCCACAACTCCTATCAGGTAGTGCCTTCCTTTTCTTCCAATACAGTTACCACTGGGTTCCAATAATGTCATTTCTTCTCTTTGCCACTTCAGTCTTAAAACTGAGTGTGGCTACCCTTCTATTCCATAGGGGTTTTATGCCTGTCATCTTTTATTGCTTGTAGGTGCCCTTGACCCTGCACATACCATTATAAATGGTTCTTTCATTGCACTTGTCCCATCGAAACTCCTTGAGTATTGCTGGTGTTTGCCCCCAGGATACTAGTGTACACATTCACTTGCACAAATTCTGTCCCATAGAATTCCAGAAAGTTCCATAGCTTGAAATGTGAGATCACCTAGTTGAGTTACCTTTCCCAAGAGAGTGATCTGCCTTTTCCTGACCATTTAACATGTTCCCCATGGATTGTCTTCTCTTAAATTAAGATTGCATTGCAATGTTTATAAAATAAACATGAGGAATGAGTTGGTTACAGATTTGTTTTAGCTATACTGAGTCACCTTTACTTGGCTAAGTGGATGTTATGAACTCGAGATACACTGCTTTCCAGAAAGTTTTGTCAAGATGCTTTACCTTATACATTTAATTAATCTGTGTCCTAGGAAGAATTCATATTTAACATGAATTTGAACATCAGTTGCTTATGGGTCATAATACCCTTCTTGATATTACCCATGTACTAGAGTGATCATTCTAAACTGTTACTTGGACTTACCTACATATGTTGACAAAGAATTGACTTCCTAGGCACAGAATTGAGCATCCCTTATTCAAAATGCTTGGAATTGTAAGTGTTCTTTTTTCCAGTTGAAAAAGTTATGTATTAACAACTTAAATCCAACTAAAAGTGTCTTTAAAAGACTAGCACTATTAGATCCCTTTTGAAATTTTGACTTTGGGAACAAAAATTAGTCAAATGTTTTAGTGACATGGTAAATTATAAAAACCACACAACCATATAAACTGTTGAAACATGCAGTCAAATTACTGCACATTTGTTTTAAGATGTTACTAGTATACTTCAATGAGGGCCAAATTGCCTATGCCCACAATAATAAACAATAAAATAAACATACCTATTTAAGGTATTGTATTTTGTTTTATAGAGTACTTTTTGTTATTTTGCTTTTTAGAGGCAAATTCTCATGTATCTCAGGCTCATCTTGAACTAACTATACAGTTGAGGCTGGCTTTAAATTTTCAGAGTTGTTTGTGTTTGGAATGTTGGCATAAATTATATAAGTTGTTCATTATTAAACAAAAATAAAAAATATTAAATGGAAATGCTCTGGAGCATCTTTTTGAGGAAAACAATCTTAAATTACTTTAGATTTGGAGGCGTTTTGAAGTAGAAAGTCTCAATCTATATCTTTTGTTGTATTCACCCTCCTTTCCATCCTTACTCCCAGTGTATTCATTTTGACCTAGGTTATGTAACTATTTCTATCCTCTCCCCATCCTCTTTAATTCTTTGCTGCAGACCTTTGGAAGAACACAAATGTACTCATGTCCTGTACTCTTCATTGGCCATCCATCATTTAGGTTAAAATTCGAACTCATTACTTTGGGCTGTAGAGAATCTGGCTGTTGTTCCCTTACAGTGCTGTCTTTGCCCATTTGTTTTCAAGCTCGGCTTTCATCCTCACCCTGTCCCTGTACTTTTGCTCCTGTGCACTTCTTACCTTTGATGATTAGCTCCACCCCTTCATCTTTCAAATCCATCTTAGTCATTGCTTTTTAAAAAACCAAAACTTTCCTGCGATTCCTTAAGTCATCAATTTAGTTTTGTGGCTGTTCTGTGATCCTTTAGCCCCTCTTCACCCACCTTCAATTTTCTAGGACTTAACACATTGGCAATTATTTATTGACATGCCTGTTGATAACTCCTCACTATTCATTTTAGGCTGAGAAGCTGTTTTCATCATTTAAGCCTAGTGCTTGGAACAGAATGTTGAATGTTTAAGAAATGTTTCCTAAATGAGTGACTAAATGAGTTAATTATGAGTGATTATGAATGGAGTATATGAATTCAGTTGCATACATAAGGCAAGTATAAGAACTCTGACTCTTTATGGGATGGTCTACCATTAATCAAGCCAGCTTTGTTAGTATTTTTCCCCTCTAGGTGGACAAAATCTATGACAGAATGTTTAGGAATAGAAACAGATGAGTTGGCTTTTTGCATCACAGTCCCTCTCTAGTCCCTGAAGCTGGAGTTATGGAATAATAGCACTGGTCTTAATTATCTCAGGGAAGGGGTGAGGCTAATTTCCCTCAGGGAGATACCAAATTCTTCACCATCCATCAGCATTGATCACAGATGGGATGGAAGTCAGGCCTAAAAATACTTCAGCCCTAGGTGACATCATGGCTGTATGCTTTCAGATCTAAGTCACCCCAGATGGAAGTGAGAAGATTTGAAGAGCAGTCTTTAAAGCAGACAGGGAAGCTTATATCACACTACAGATGATTACTGGGACAAATGTTATTCTAGACTTTCTAGTCACATAATAAACTCAGATAAAATTTTTAAGTAGAATAGAACAAAGAACATCCTTGCCTTCATCACTGTGATTGTGTATTTATTGAACACCTCACAAATGTTAGACTTTGCTCAAAATATTCAATGGACAACATTTCTTTATCTAGAAGGGGTTGGGGAGTAATTGTAATATTTTGATACCAAATTCCCAGAAAGAGTAGAAAATGAACTCCTATCAATATTCTAAAGCATAATGTGGAAGGTGCCCCAGATTATATGCAAAAAACATGATTAATGTTCTCCCCCACTGGAAATTACCCTTTCACCAAACTTTCCCATGCTTGAGAGGGAAAAATGGGACCAAGCATAGACCTAAGAACGTCAAAAATGATTTGCATATTGATACTCGAGATATGTTTGTGGGCAACAATAAATATTAGATGGAGAGCCATGGAATTAAATGTATGGGAAGCAGCTTAGTCCATTTCCTAGTACCTCTGAGTAAAACTGCTCCTGAAACCTCTCAGGTTTAAAATTAGTGGAAAGCGTAACAGAAATCTGAGGGGTTTCTTGCTTATACATTTAACGTCCAAATGAGAACCGTATTTTGTACCAAGGTCTCAATGGGACTTGGGTGGTCAGTGGAAACTCTGCCCAATGAATATTTGAGAGCATCATTGTGCCCGATGAATTGTATAAATAGGTATGGACTTAGAGCTTTATGGGGACGTGAAAATGAATGACAAGTGGTTACAAAGCGTGCAAGCACTAGGCTACCCTACCAGTAGATGACTGTCTTAGCATAGTACCTCTTCTCAGGGCTTGTTTCCCTCCCATTCCCACCCTCTTCGGACGATCTTCTTCAAGGCTTAAGGTTTGAGACAGTGATCAAGTTCCACAGCGTAAGAATTGGTATTCCTCATGATATTCTCCACCAACATGACTGGCTTGGGATTTCTTCCAGCAAAACAAGAGAGCCAGGTACAAATCAACATGGCTGCAGCAGCTCCGCCCCCAGCACAGTAATAGGCCCAGCCAAGTCTACAGGTACCTGCGGAAAGAGGGATAGAGATATAAATGTTGATTTGTCTTTTCATATATCCTTTTTGGCAATAAACTGTAAACATAATCTTTGAAAGTATATTTTAATTAAAATATAATTATGCTATAGAGCTTTGCATTGGTACAGATTTTGGTTTATTGATACAAATTTAAGGTCAATTTTATTATACTGTGTATATGTATTTCTGATCTTGATTAAAGTATTGTGTTTGTCCAGCTCATTTATAAACGTAATGTATAATTAAGAACTATAGTTTAATAGATAATCGCCTATAATAGTCAGGCTTGTAGTCATGTTAGTTAGATTTTCTAGGTGTATAGAGATATATTTCAGATGGATAGGCATTCTTCAAACCTTCCAAAGACTACAGAATACAGCATTTAAAATGTTTTAATAACTTAGGACTTTTCATGACAATGAGACACATCTGCTCCTGGCAGCACCAATCTACTTCAAGAGGAATATGGGCATCGAAGTGGCTCCTTATGGAGATGGTTAGCCATTTGGGCAAGAAACTGCACTTGCCTGGACTGCTTGATGAACAGGACATGCAGGACCCATATAAAATTGACTGCTGAACTTGCCTAAAAATGAGTTGGTCCTTCCGGGTTCCTGCTTCATGAAAGAATCAGCTAGACATTCTGCAGGACACAGAAAAGAATTACTAAAAACTACCAATATAGGTGGAACTGTCTTTAAAATTTCCTGCTTCATGGAAAAGTCTGCTGGATACTATGCCTCTGTAGGCTGAAGATAGATGCCCCAACATTACAGAAGAACTTAGGGTGACTGTCCAGGCAGTAAGATGTCTCTGTCAATTTAAGAGATTTGGAAGTTGCTTACCATGCACTTTCTATTTATTTAAGTAATATTATATCCTTCTGGAGTCTTTGATGGAGAATTTATAGTTATAGTTTTCCTTAGTTACAATAAAAGATTATATATATATATATTATATATATATATAAACTGTAATTCTTGCTTGATAACTGTTTCATGTAATTTTACTACGTTAAAGTTACAACCTTCCTTTTCTTTTTAAACAGAAAAAAAGAGGTGATGTGAGATTTCCCTCTGTATGCTGTGATTACCATTAATGAATAAATAAACTGCTTTGGACCTATAGCAGGGCAGAACTTAGCTATGCAGGAAAAACTAAACTGAATGTTGGAAGAAAGAAGGGCAGAGTCTGAGAGAAGCCATGTGGCCCCGCTGAAGCCAGACGAAACTTTTGTCAGTAAGCCACAGCCACGTGGCAATACACAGATTCATAGAAATGGGTTAAATTAATATGTAAGAATTAACCAATAAGAAGCTTGAGCTAATAGATCAAGCAGTGATTTAATTATTATAGTTTTCTATGTGGTTATTTCAGGTATGAGCTACCAAGCAGCCGGAAATGAAACAAGCGGCCTCCTACAACACAATTATATAATTTTCCTCTATTACCTATTACCTTTCCTTTTTCTCAAGCTCTGCTGGCCCCCTTCTTTCTGGTCCCTTCCCTAGCTTCTACCCGTGTGTGTGTGTGTGTGTGTGTGTGTGTGTGTGTGTGTGTGTGTGTGTATGTGTGCACGCGCTCGTGTGTACACTTTAAATTGGATAACAAACTGAGGGATTCCTCCATGGAAGAAGACGATTTCTCCCCTACTCTCAACACCCCTTAGTTCTCTGTAGGTCTCTACCTACGAGTGAGGCCCCATGAATCTTTTCTCTTATAAAAGTATATTCTTGACACATCTTCTTTGGGATGTGATGGTTAAAGTAAGGAAAGAAAATAGATATGTAAGCTAAGTTTTCTGTTTCCTCCTTCCCTCCTTTATTGTTTGCTGGTCCATGTTTTAGCAAGACCTTATAAAACCATATTTCCTATTAGAGTAGGAACCGGGAAATGGTGCAGGTGGTGACATTGCAGCAATATTGATTGCAATGATGACAGGAGAAAGCTAATAAAATATCAAAAATTATACTAAATTCTTTACACATTGACCTCATTGATCATCACAGCAACCTCATGACCCAGACACTCTTGTTATCTTATAAATGATGTGGCAGACACGGTAAATACTGTGAACACACACACAGCTAGAAAGTGGTAGAATTGGACTACAGATCATGCTTAAAGATGTTTCACAAGCACTACATTTTTAGCCAAAGAGATATATTACTGTACATCTGCGTCTTCAAAAGATCCTTGTCCTGAATCATCAGAAGCTGAGACAGCTGAAATCAAGTCCCTTCCTTCTTACTATATGTCTATATTTTAACATAACCGTTCAGTACTTATTAGAAAGTATACATTGTAATCAAAGTTAACTTTAACATGGAGTAGTTTCCATTTGAAAGGTAAGAAAAAAGTGCCACGTGCTTAAACACATACACCTCACCTCCTGCCATTTTATAAAAGTAGGTCACCTTTTTTGACAGATCTATGCTTTTAGTAAAAAATCTTACAGGAAATATTAACTCTTTCCCAGAGAAAGAGCTATTCTTTAATGAGTTACTAGAATGACTAACTGCTAAAATGAAGTGTTTGAGCTAGCAGGATTCTAGAAATGGTGATAGGTGCCCAACTATTCAAATTTAGTCCTGAAGAGAGAAATAGGCAGTGATCTCTCTCTATCCTACAGTCTTGCAGAAAGTTAAATGGCATCAAAGATACCAATACTAATGTTTATTACAAAAACTTGCATTTTCAAATCTACATTTGAACAAATACTAATTAGTTTTGTTCACATGGGACTCAGTAAATCTTAAATTTCACATCAAAATTGCTGATGTGTCATGAAGTTGCCGATGGGTTCAAATTATGATGCTTTACTTTTCCATTGTTTGCCTTTTAGTTTACACCACATGTCCCACCTCAGTTGTCTTTACACTACCAAGTCATTGCTTGTACTGCCTAGTTTTGTGCCAACTTGACACAAACTAGACTCATCATAGAGGAAGGAGACTCGGCTAAAGAAATGCCTCCATGAGATTCAGTCGGAATGCTTTTTTCTCAAAAAGCATTGATCAAACCATTTTTGATCAATGGCAGATGGCACAGCCTATGGTATGTGGTGCTACCTCTGGGCTGCTGGTCCTGGGTTCTGTAAGAAAGTAGGCTGAGCAAGCCATGGAGAGTAATCCAGTAAGCAGCACTTCTTCATGGCTTCTGCATCAACTCCTGCCTCCAGGTTCCAGCCCTGTTTGAATTTCCATACTGAGTTCCTTCTATGATGAACAGAGGTATGGAAATATAAGCCTAATAAACCCTTTTATTGGTCATGGTGTTCCATCACCGCAATAGAAACCCTAAGACAACACTCATGCTATAACTTCTGTGAAAAAATACCTCCTTCTATCCTCTTGTTCACTGATTCATATCTTACACAGAATACTGTTCAGGACTTGGCACCTACTGGAAACTTTCCTTGATTCATTGCAGGAGGCCCAAGTCATCCCAACCAATAAAGGTCCATGAATTCATCTGAGCATCTCATATACGGCTACTGCTGTTGGAGAAAATATTAGGAAGAAACTTTACATTTCACATAGTTTGTAATCTGCCAGTTCCTCCCTTCACAGTAAAGGGGACTTTGATACATTTTTGCTGATGATTTCAGTGTTTTGGCCATAGTGAGTATAATTTCACTATGTCAGATCTACTCTAGCAGTATTTTGAATTTTGGTGTACTTTCACTTTCCCACACATCAACGCAAAACACTTTCATCTAAATTTTCAACTGAGTTTGAAAACCCAAAGTAATAATCTATTGATGTCTTGAATGTTCCATGGCCCTTTTACTATAAAACATATGCATATTATGTTTCCTCTGCCTAAAATGCTTCCTTCTTGTGAATCTGTGTGTATACATACACTTCCCATCACACTCTCTGTTTATCAAAGTTCATATGATCTCATTAATTACTTCCTAGGAGTTTCTTCCTGAACTAAGTCAAATTCCCTCGCAAGAGGATGTCATACTACCACCCTTCCTTTCTTTTGTTCTTGAATAGCCATTCCCTTATTTCTTATCCTGACATGTGCCAAACATCAGTCATTCCAAGGAGTACTACTTTGCCAATAGACCTAGGCAATGGAAAGTAAACAGAAGTTTCTCTGTCCCACCCGGTCTTATAGTTGCTTCTAAATAATTACTCGGAGGCTAATACTAATTATTAATACTTGACCGAAAGCTCAGGCATATTACTAGCTAACACTTATGCTTAAATTAACCCATATTTATATCTATATTTATATTTTTGCCGTGTGGCTCAAGGCTTGTTACCTCATTTTCTACTTCCTGCTTATTCGGTGACTGGCTAGTCAGTATCTTTCTCGACTTCACTCCTCCTCATCTGAGTTCTCAGTTTGATTGTTTGCCCAACCTTATCCTGTCTGGCTATTGGTCAAATAGCTTTTATTATTAACCAATAAGAGGAATACATATTCACATGTACAGAAAGATTATCCATCAGCAATGGAACTTTTCCTAAACTCCTGTGGTCCAAGGCAAAATAATAGTGAAAATTAGGTTACCAATGCTATCGGAGAGATGAGAGAGGATGTTAAAATACTTTTAAAATTGCTATTTTAAATTATCTATGCTGGTTTGAATGACATGGCCACCATATGTTCATATATTTGAATGTTTGGTCTATAGATGATAGAACTGTTTGAGAAGGATTAGGATGTATGACTTTGCATGCAAAATAATTGTTTTTATTATATTTCCATACACGTGTATCATTATGCTTTGTTCTAATTTGTACACATACCCTATTACCCTCCTCAATGCTCCCTGTCTTGATAGGGCATAGTTTTAATAGAGATGACTCCTTTGATAAAAGAATGCCTCTAATTCCAAAGTAGTTTCAACATGATAAAAAAAAAACAATGGTGGAGTGTGGGTACAGTACATGACAGTCTATTTTGAAGTCATTTACCAATATTTCTATATTATTTCTTACCTTAGTTTTCCATAGATATGAGAGGTGACTTT